AACCACACCATGCACAATTGACTGACAATTAGAACCACACCATGCACAATTGACTGACAATTAGAACCACACCATGCACGTTTAGTCCTTCGCTTTCTTCGATAGAAAACTTTGTAGTACTACATGTACCTGGTTATCCTGTAGTCATCAAAGGTCAACATTTCCTTTGAATTTCCAGCTGGATAGTTGACGGACAAGAAGTGTCACTGAAATGGCAACGTTCCTATTCACCGCACATCCAAAGCTAGATGTTTGTTACTGTAACCCTTTTCTTCTCTTGTCAGCAGCACTGGATTTTTTACCTGCTATTTGCTGAGTGCTGCATAGTCTGATGCATTGATTTAAGCAACAGCATTAACTGCATTGTTACTTTGTGCCATTCAATGCCTCTTTGGTAAGATTTCANTCAGGCGGATTGATGTTTATTTATCACTGTTGGTTACATGACGTCATCAATATTTGTATAGTCAACAATTTTAGTGACGTCATAAATAAACAAGCATAGTGACGTCACAAACAATACCAAGACAAAGAAAACATCTACTTATAATACATTGCAAAAATCTTTGTGCTTTCAAGCTGGGTTTGATGACCTTTATAAACATATTTTCTTTAATTTCTCTTGCAACTACATCGTCGCTATTCAGTTTGTAAATAGGTAACACATGAAAATCATCTTTAGAACATTGATGCATATGTTTATAAAAGTCCTCAAACCCAGCCTGAATGCACAATGATTCCTGCAATGTATTGCATGTAGATGCCTTCCCCGTCCTGGCACCGTTCGTGACGCCACCGCGCCTGCCCATCCATGACGTCACCAAAATTGTTGACCACACACACATTGACGACGTCATGCAACCAAAGGTGACAAACAAACATCAATCCGCCCGAAGAAGCCCCAAATGGCAGAAAGGCCCAGCGGACGATCTGAAAAAAATATGTTTTTATTCTATATTTTCCTTCGCAAGGACGTTTGAGGACTTTTATAAACATATGCATCAATGTTCTAAAGATGATTTTCATGTGTTACCTATTTACAAACTGAATAGCGACGATGTAGTTGCAAGAGAAATTAAAGAAAATATGTTTATAANCAGTTTGGAAAATATCAAGTGTAATCGAGTTATTTTATTTTTTACCAATAGCAGACATCATTGTCCCTCTCTCAGCGACGGTAGAATTTTGATTATTTTCTGCATTGTAAATAGACCATGTTACACTTTAATTTCAAAGTTTATATCATCTAATCTGAATTTTTAAAAAAATGATGCACATTTGTTCGTGCGTAGAAAACACGTCTCATGCAGTTCATGCCCTTTTTGAATTGATTTTCAAAGGATGAGTATCTATAGGGCCCTTTTTCTGGCCCCAATATATTCGGATTTATATTTCCTTTTTTTGTTAAAAAATGTCCTTTTGCATGTAAGTCTACTTAAATGAGTAAAGTTGTAAATTTCAAGTCAAAATTTTAATTAGAAAGGAAATTATTGAGAAATAAAAACACTTTTTTGGGGGGAAATTACCTAAAACAACCCCCTTCTTAATCCTTCGTTATATATAAACAATCTTTAAGTGACGATTGAATATCTGCCATTTTTCATTCTGCTACATATGCCTGTCTAATTTATACATTTTTTCAAATACAGAAATGGTATTATTTTCGTTTTTTAGGTCATTTTGAAAACAGCAAACTATGTTTGTGATTTACTCTACCCCTTTTGGTACCCCTAGAAACCCACTTTCGGTTAAAGTTTTACCTCAGTTTTTCCGCATGTCATACAATAGGACATCTTTGAAAAAAATAAAAGAGGTGAAAATCCGATTATACCGGGGCCCCAAAAAAGGCCTTATAGACACTCATCCTTTGTTTTCCTGCTTATCCACTGTCACTAGGTGCATATTTATTATAGCTCATCTGATGTTATCTAAATAATAGACTCAGTCTTTACCTTTAAAACATTTGTTCAAATGTCTTTCCTTTTCTAAATGTGTGTAGGGTTTATGTCCCGTATTTGACTATTATTGATTTATAATGCTGATTGTTTCATATATTTGTACTGCATTGTGCTCAACTGTAATGTAAATGAAACATATTGCTACCTCTTCTACATGTATAAACGTGATTAAATTTTTGAAATTTTGATTTGAAATGAAGCGTTAAAGCTGACAAATAAAAGTTATGCAGCGTTCAATATAGTTTATTTTTAGAATGCTTTGCAGATGTTCACCCGTGACTATCTCTTCATGCTACTGTTTCTAAGTAAGCGGCGACACATCAGTTCCTTCCTTACTTGGTAACGAGTTTGGGCCTCTCTGGGTATGAAAAGCACATTGCCTGTTAAACCGGTTATCATTCTAACACTGACAGTCCTGCGATTCAATACACCGCGTGACCTGCAAGCACTCGTGTGACTACATGGAAACGCTGCAACGCAGGTTGCTATCTCCTAGGCACCCTCGGAAATTGTATATGCAAAAATAAAGATATTAAAACACTCATATCTGAGCGATAAATATCATATATATCATCCGTATTTCCACCTACATAAAACCGCTCCTACGCACGAGTATTTGTTATGATATCCAGATCTCCCTCGTGGAGACGCTTTATTAGCAAATCACGTGGAAAAGCCGCGGGATTTTGTAAGTGGTCCATTCGGATGGAAACAGTAAAAACATGTTATGCAATTGGAAATGCATGTAGTATTGTTTTCACACAGGATGTGATCTCTATTGCTATTCTAGTGTTTTTCCCGCTTGCTATTCAAGGTAGGTTTCACCATGTATTGTATGTTCTTGCTGGTCCGTCAATCCTTTCTTGTGCCGATTTTGAATTAAATATTTGATTTTATTTCGTTGGCTAATATATTTATATATTGCACACATGCGTCGAATTATGTCCTTCATTTCTATATTCCTCAACTGATCTGATAAACACGTAGGTGTAAAACATTGAGATAATATCGGCAAGGTATAGACGTGTCGCCTTGCGCATACGTTTACCAAATCATAACCGATTTTGTATTTTCAATGGGGCTTTTATACTTGTAATTACTGAGCCCAGGACAAAACCGAATAACCAATTTGATAGCTAATGGTCGTCACCAACCAAGCACAAACGAAATTGACGGCGTTTCCTTAAATACGATTATCGGAGCTGATAGTCATTCGGAAACATCTCAATTGCACTCGGAACAGTTGAACTTGTATCTTAATATGTTTTTAACTTGCGCTATCAGGTATTTTTTGGATGCTGAAGTGACTGTATATTGTCGTTATGTTATCCGGATTTTGACTGTTCTTTTTTCGTTGTTATTTGCCCTGTCGTGTGTGATTTTATTTAATGTAAATAATATATCATGTTGATTACATTGCTAGATTAGACTGGTTTGGGATTTGTAGTGATGACTTTATCTTTGTATTTTGTGATTTGCTAAACGTTATATACATCATTGTAAATGTGATCACGTATTGTACTTCATTTTCAAAATACAGTTATAATTGTATTTAATGATGCTATGGATTGATTATTTATTATTTTGAATATTCTGATACATGTTTATTATTATGATATGATATATAATCATCCCAACATTTACTTAAACTTTGATACCTTCTTAATATGCAAAATGCTAAAATAATGTTAAAAGAGAGCCAGGAAACAGATATCTCGGGCAAAATCTAAGATGAAATATGAAGTTGATATGAAACTGACTATAATTGGCCTACTTTTGTTTTATTCTTTGCTTTTCGTAAAGTGGGTAAATGAAGAACACACCTTTCTTTCGACAGAAGTACACTTCGCCAGAAGTCACTCCGCTGAATACAATCCTTAAAAGCAATACGTTTTCCAATTAATTCACTGAGGAATTTGGTGAAATCGCCTTCTCTCTTAATTTCATGTTATTGAGACGGAAATAGGTTTCCATTTGCAGCAAAGCTATTTAATAATTTTACACCGTATAACGATATTTGTTTCTCATGAAAAGTGAGAAAGGAAGAATTTGTCTGACGAGTTGCTCTGTGTGTTGCTTTAAATGTTTATGATGTGTGTCAGGACATTACATTATCGTGGATTGAGATAAATTGATAAGGCCCCCTCCCTAAATTATCCATCATTGAGAAAATAATGCTTTTTCGATTGTCTGTTGATCATGTAAGGTACCTTGCTGTCAAAAAACCAAAATGGCGTCGCTTAAAAATGTTATCTGCAATAGCGCAATGTCCGTGCACAGTTTACAAAATAGTTGTGGAAGTACTTCGAATATCAATAATCTAATTTATTTGGTAAGAGACACTTATAAACTCTGAGGTCATGCTGCATGGAATTTTATTTTTCTCATGATGCCTTCAATTACGAATAGTTGTCAGCTATCGGTTAACTGTCGTCACATTGTATAATTATCGCAAAAATAAAAAATAAAAATGCCCTTTTCAACAAAGGAATTGCATGCAAATCACATTTTTGCAATACCTTTTACAGAATTAGAGTTGTAATCTATGGCAAGCCAACTTAACATTTATTCAAGGAGCAATGTCGATCCTGTATTTCATCGAATTATATAAGATATCTTATATAATTATATAAGATATCTCATATACAATAAAGATATCTTATATCTATATGAGATATCTTATATAGCATATGAGATATCTTATATAGCATATGAGATATCTTATATACGATATAAAATATCTTATAACGATATAAGATATATTATATACTATATGAGATATCTCATATAGAAATTAAATGAGATATCTTATATACGATATAAGATATCTTATATAGCATATGACATATCTAATATAGCATATGAGATATCTTATATACGATATAAGATATCTTATATACGATATAAGATATCTTATATAATTGAAATATCGTTGCTATATAAGATATCTGATATAGAATGAGATTTCGTGGCATTAAAAACCAGAAACTAATTTCTCCCTCGAGAATCATTTGGAGCACATTCAGGATTGCATTGGGCGCAATGGCGGAGAGGGATGGTACGGATACGGAGAGGGATACGCTATTCGATGGTATTGAAAAATGGATTATAGCGGCCAAAGCAGAGGCTGCCATTTCCCGCACACTTGAAGTGGGCTCAGACATGATGGCGGCGACAGGAACACGTGTTGTTACAACAAGCCTAGTGTCCCTACGTGGATCCTTGAGATATTCCGGACGGGGAGACTTCTTTTTCGACATTTTGTTAAAATCTCGTTCTTATATAAGATATCTTATTTAGTAACGAGACTTTAATTATATAAGATATCTTATATAGCTATATGAGATATCTTATATATTATATAAGATATCTTATATAGAAAATTAAATGAGATATCTTATATACGATATAAGATATCTTATATAGCATCTCATTTAATTTCTATATAAGATATCTTATATACTATATGAGATATCTTATACAGCATATAAGATATCTTATATAGTATATAAGATATCTCATATGCTATATAAGATATCTTATATATTTTTTTGAAATACAGGATCGACTTTGCTCCTTGAATAAATGTTGGCTTGCCGTAGTAATCTGTATTAAACATCTTATGCATTAATTCAATAGACAACATATGTGAAAATCCTTAAAAAACATTTGTTTAGGTTTGGTTTGGTTTGTTTGTGTTTTACGTCCTATTAACAGCTATGTTCATTTAAGGACGTGCCCGGTTTTGTTGGTGGATGAAAGCCGGCGTTCCCGGAGGAAAACACCGACCTACGGCCATTGCCTGGCGACTGCACTACGTAGAACTCAAACCCGCGACCCAGTGGGGTAGTGGTAGCAAAATGTCAGACATCTTAACCACATGGCCACCGCGGCCCCTCCTCAAAAGAAATAAAACACACAAAAACATAGAAATAAATTACCGAAACACGAGCCTCAAAAGAGAATGTGATTCCTGTATGTCACGTGACATTTGTCATATCTCCATGTAGACCGAGGAACACCAATGATAACAATCTGTACAACAGAACAAATTTTACTTCAGAAATCAACACAGAGTAATAAAATTGGAATCCAAAGTACCTCGGTAGCCGTGATCGATAAGCTGCACAGTGCAATTAAACGTGAGTTTCAGACCATTTACTTTACAAAGGATTTGTGTTCGATTCCCAATGGTCCCGGAAAAAAGACAACGCTGTCTGCTAGATTAAGTAGTTATCTTCCTGATGGCCCTGTGGTTTTCTCTTGCGGGCAATCCTCTAAAAAGAAGATATCATTTGCTCCCTTAGCGGTATCGTCATACATTCTGAAAGCTTTTCAGAGCCTTTGTTTGTTATTTACAATGTACATGACGTAACATAAAGCTCATTATCTCTTAAGTCGATACGAAAAGACAACAACCAGAAATCCAGTGGGCATTACATCTTATCATCTGTCCTGTTAATTGAAATATCACGTCGTATTTATAACAAGCTGATCACGATAACTTTGGATAGCAAACCCTTGTTTCACTAAGACGACCTGAGTTCGATTCCCTGATCGGACATGAGTCGACTTTTCCGGTACTGCTTTAATTGGATGCTGTTAAACTTACACGCGACATATTCACTTTTAATTATGTAGTCAGAAAATGAGAATGACTGAAAATAACATAAGGGGAGAAAACACTGTTTACATGGCGACGAAGGGTAAAATCACGGTTACCGCTATAGTTGGTAACTTAAAGGATTTATTTAATGAATGAAATCAACTATTTTAAGAAGGGATCGGAGACGATACCAAAAATGAAAGTTATCAGATATGTTCTATCAATAGTACCAATTACCTTTGTTTTCAACCAAAGAATGTCCAAATGTAACATCGTATCAGAAGAATGTTCGTAAAATTATACGTAAAGTTTCATAGCATTTGGAAGAGATATTAAGTTTGTAAAGCAATGGTAAACTCAGTAAAATGTACAAATACATACAAAGGAATGAAGATGTGTTTGTAAACGTATATGTGAAGTGTATGTAATGCAATGAGGTCAAAGTTCTATTCATAGTAAAAGCGACGGATTTTTACCCCAGAAGGTTGAAATACGAAAATGAAAAAATGGATAATGTTGATGGACACATGTGAAGCTTGATGAAATCACGTGATAAACAAATGCTGAAAATGACAAGGTCGTCGAGGACACGTGCGGTACATATATGTGACTCATTGCGATTATAATTGACTGCTAATTACGGTCTCTACGCTTGTTTACGTAGCAAGAATAATTATCACTCACAAGCATGACGTGAGAGTTATCGATAATTATAACAAAAGCGTCAGATAATATCATTCATCCTGTGTTCCCTTTCTTAGACAACAGGTGCCCATCAAATCAGTCATACATTATGTGTTGCGCCGGAGACTGGGGTTCACGAGCCCAGCGTATAGCTGTCTGTCTGATTCTATGAACAATGGTAGCTTGCACTTACCGCAGCTAGTCTAGCTGGTATGTTCGCATCAGCAGACATTGTCCTGAAATATCTGACTCTTTATCAAGTTATACATGAACCGAAAGTGATGCCAACTAATACCCTCTATATAGCCGCCAAGTTATGGCCTTTATATAGCCAAAGACGTGTGAAACTGTGTATGACATAACACACAAAACGGTACCGGAGAATCGTTTCACGCGTCTCTCTTCGGCGTGTAAAAGAGACATGATCGCTTTGTATGCTGCCAACAATGGAAATATGGCGTTGAAATAAGAGATCGGATTCCATCTAAGTTAACTTACAAGTGTTCCGATCATGCGTACTTGTTTAACAGTTTTATTTTTTTCGTTGTGCTTAGACGTTCAACTTGGAAATGTATATAATGGGAATTTTCATATGAAGAATGTGATCTGTGCGACATGATAGGGATCTACAATGATCTAGACTCGAAATAACGTGATACTCAGTCATTTAATTAGGTGAGTTTATATCCATTTTCCTATTTTCCCAATTTAAATGTTCTACGTTTTTTGATAGAAAGTTTGAAAATCGTTTATTTTAATTATAAAGCTTTATATATATCAGGGAAAGTATTTACCCAAAGTGTCAATACGTTCCAAACAACTTTTATTTATCGTTATAACGCTGTATTGTTTATATTATTGTTATCAGTTTGAATCTAACCTCGTTCCCATGTTATATATATATATCCACTTACATTAGTAGTGCATTCTCAAATTATAACGCATATAGAACGAGAAAGGAATATGTGTTTTATGAGACTGTAACACCATTTGGTCATGTGGCAACTACTGTGACGTCATCGATTTTATTGTGACAACACTGACTTATGCTGTCACAAGAACTTTACGAGCTGACGTCAGAGGAGCGAAATAACTCATAGATATCATAACTACTCTGTTTGAATGGAAATATGACATGTATGTTGTTGTTGTTTTTGAAATGGTGCTATGCTCATATAGCACTGTGAAACATATTGCCATTGTTAATACGTACTGCTGCCGGGCTCTGTTGCGTTAACAAATATAATAGTGATGCATTTTGGTGAACAAAAGCACCTTTGTGCAAGATGGTGTTTTTTTTTTTGCTTTAACGTTTCAGATAATGTTTCGTTTTGACATTTTAAACCATTTCATTTTTGCCAAAGTTTTTCGATATTTACCAATGTATGGGATTGTCAATCATTCCACCACTGTCAGATAGCATTATATACTCTACCAGTAAAACGTGTATGAATGTCACGATTCCATAGCTGACGACGTCATCTCTTTAATGACGTCATTATGGTAACGTTGGATACAGGTTAATTTTCCTAGAAGGTGACTGTTATATATATTGAACAAACAAATTTTGCACAAGTTGCATAATTATATTATTGACCGCTCGTTATAGATGATCTGAAAATTCATACGTTTTATTGTAACCTTCCTAACCGCCCGGGCGATATTAATAATATCATTATACAAGAACGATAAAGGTTTTTTTCGGCTGACAATATTATGTATAATCGACTAAACATATCCATTCAATTATTTTGGTATTATATATATTGTTGGAACTGTTTAACTATCTTGTATGTACAACATAATATCTCATTGTAGTACTTATAGCTTTCCATCGTGTACGTACAGGAAAGTATCTTCACACAGCATACTATTGTGTACGTAGTAATAAGTTGTACGTACCAGAATGAGATGATATGCTGTACTTACAAGTATGATAATTTTAAATTAAATTTAAAGGTGACGCGTATGTGCCTCCTTAGTTGTACCATTTTAACCAGATAGCTTAGCAAATGTACCACTGTTGGTAATATGCACGCCCTTACATGAGTTAATCAGCGTGGACATTTCAGATATATCATTGTCTACACTAGTGAATTAGTCAACAATTATAAAACGCGAGACTATATAGCTAGTGGCCTTGGGTGTCGCACTGATTTGAACTTATCCGTTTGTTTAGCAACTTAGTGATGCCATGAGTAACTCATTAATTAAACAGCAACGATGTTATGGTGTTATTTGTTCTTTTGTACGACAAACTATTACATGAAGTACTGTACTGTAGGTACAATGTCTGAAGACTAGATATTGTGCGTCCCTACATTTATTTTTTGACGGTGGACCTCTCGTATCCCCCTTGCGGGCGGGACGCCAAATTAGGTAATAATGAACAAGCCCCCTGTGGATTCATACATTTGTCATCACCAGGTTGCCCCTATAATAATACCATCTGACTTCTAAAACACGCTGTTGATAGAGAATTTGAACCGAAACTTTAATTTTCTTTCCAGTACACAAAAAAAAGTCTTTGGGCCATACTTAAAATATATTTTTTTCTTCTTGTTAATTAAACATAAAAACAATCCTCAGAACACGGAAAATCGCTTCTGAGACGTTCTAGAAAACACAACTTTTTGGGGGAGATCCCCCAAACCCTCCTTACGGGAAGGGGAAGACCCCCTCTGGTACCCTCCTCCTCCTCGCGCTACACGCTCGGGGTGCTGCCTTGGCAGCACACCGTTGACTATTGAGAAAAAAATTATCGCCCCCCCCCCCTTTTAGAAAATCCTGGATCCACCCCTGCTAACTATTTTGTTACTGTTACGGTAGTATTGATTTTTTGTGTGGGCAATATTTTCAG